TTCTTTTTTAAACAATTCCTTCCTCACACACCTTAAGTAAATATACAATTGGGAATAGTCTGACATCTCCATTTGAACCAAATTTTGTCATGGCATGCTAGGCTGCTGCGCTATCTCTAAGTAGGGGGTTCTGTTGCACTTTCTTAGCAATGTAGAATACCACCTGCCAGTCTATCGACTCCCAACTTCCCCTGACTTGTAGCTCACCTCACCTTCTTTTCTTAACTGTTTGAAAATCTATTCCTGAAAAAAAAAAAAAAAAGCACCCTACACAGTATTGAACTTCTGACCTTGCAAGCTTAGGCCAGATTAGTGCATTGGATGACTCTTTTTTCCACGCATTTGATCTTTTTTAACTTCTTCCTGTCTCAGTTGATATTGACATTGTTGGCTTCAGAGTGTCCGCAATGTCGAGTTTCGCTGATTTCAAGTGGTCGCACCTTCACTTTGACGTTTCCTGTCAACTGACGAGTTGCGCGCACCTGTTTTGCGACTAATCAGCTACTTTCATGTGATTCTTACCCTGAGTGTATACATCGCGAGCGGTTGGAGTGCATGAGAATCAAACACGAAAAGTTTTTAGCTGCTAAAATATAGACAGGCCCTGCCTTTAAGATAGATAAAAGGTATGCTTTAATGTAGTGTATTTAGACAATTCTAATGAGTACTCGCATTTGCAAGTTCATAATAAATATGCTCTTGAATAAATTGCAACCACACTTTAACAATTAAACTGCAGCACATCCCTATTTTGATGATTAGAAGAAGATAAAAAGAGAGAGACAAGCACAATTTTCGTTCAAATAATGGAAATTTTGTTCTTCTGGCTGTTCCCCTTCTGAGAGGCTGTTTTACTGGCTTTGCTGTCACTTTCGCACACGCCTCCCTTGCATGCTGCTATCTTAACAAAGCCAATATATGCCACGTTTTTTATGAAAGTCTGCAAACTTTTCTTTTTGAGGTTCGGATATTTTCTTATTTTCAGCCCATAGTAACTTTTCCTGAATGACATGCACCTAAAGATCTTCGTTTAGGCTACTCACGATCACAAGCCTTTGACACACAAAAAGGACAGGATGCTGCTATATTTCGTGTGCGAAATGACCTTCCTTTGTCATACACTTTCATAATGAAAAGGGAGTATCATAATCTACTGCATTTCACTGCAAATAGATACAATGCGCACAAGTCCTCTGCAAAACAATGCAAACTGACCACAAAATGTGCGCAGGCACATTTTGTGGTCAGTTTGCCTCCTCTGATCTGACTCCTCTGATAGGAGTGCTAGTGCTGAGTGCTAGTGCATATGTGATTTCCGTTTCATGCAATTATAATGTACATTCTTCATTCCTGTTTTCACTTTCATCTGGCTTTTTTCGCCCCCCTTCTCTTGCATTTTTTCCTCTAGCTAGGCTCTAGAGTTCTTCTGTACCCTAAAGTACTCCAGTTGGGGAACATAAAAGACGAGGGGAATACAAAGGACAAACACTTTTTGTTGCTTTATTTGCTGATAAAGCTGACCATTTCTCCACCTACCGGTTAGGGAGATACCCGCTATAGGCGCTGACCTTTCATTTCCACTTATCTTCCTTTTCTCCTCCATGTCCCAGTTTTTTATTTGCTTTGAGTTTTCGTGCCAGGAAGTGTTTTTTTTTTTTGCTTTCTCTTGTTTCCTGAATGTATATAATGAATATAATGACCAAGACTATATATAATGTGCGATGGGCAGAATCCTCGTCGGTGTAGGTTGCTGCGAGTGTTCGTCTTAGCAGAAGAGGCCTGTTACGCAGTTAGTCTTAAGCAGATATTTTTTTATTAAACTGAGTATACGGTAAATCAAACACTCTCGTGTTGTTTGTCTTCAGCAAGAATTTATTTTAACAGAGTTCGCCTTAACGGGAGTTTACTGTAACACTTGGAACAGAAATGTAGTGAATTGACACAGTTAAGTTTACCGCGGAAAAAGTTGGCGGGAAACACTATGCTGCGCAACCAGACGCGAGAAGAAGCAAGCGCAGGGGCGGGGGCACGTGAGCATGCAATAAATAAAGAAGAATGAATTGTTCAACCAGGGCAATGCGGGTGTCGGTCTCGTCTATGTCGTAACATATTGGTGCCGAAAACCTGGAAGAAAACCGACATCCTCAGCATCGAGACGTTCTCAGGATGAACAAACTACGCAGACATTGCGGCATCGTTCGCGGTGCCATGACCCGACCTCTATCCGAAGCCACCGAGGTCCTCCTGTGAGACACAATACGGTCTACTGCCGAATTGCAGGAAATCCTTGACGGGCTCCGTGACAAAGATTCAGCTCTCACGAACTGGATAAGTAGATTGCCGACGTTCTCGACGAGGAAGAGTTCGGTAAAGCAGTTGAGGGTGCTCTCGATTACCATGAGAAGATCGTGAAAGCCATCGGCAGGCTTCGATCTGCCATGAACGTGCGTGCAACGGTTGGCTCTACGGTCCACGAAGCCAACCAGTTGGGGCATGCGGGTACGAGCAACGCATTCAGCCACTTCATGGGAGCTGCCCGCTCGGACAAAACCGGCAAAACCCTTCGTCGATCACAGTAGACCACGCGCACCAAGCTTGCGAGTTGCGCTGCCGAAGCTTCAAGTGCCCGTTTTCAATGACGAGAACTCTGAGTGGCAGGATCGCAGACCGCAATTATGCCTACGAACGGCCTCACGACTCTTCTCGCCTCAACATCGCTGCAGGCAGCGACTTCGCTTTCGACAGGCTTCACGACCCGTCTCGTACAGACATTGCAGCAGGCCGCAACTTCGCTTGCAACCACCCTCACGACTCCTCTCGACTCGACGTGGCTGCAAGGCCGTTACTTCACTTTCGACCAGCCTCAGAACTACTCCTGCATCGACTTCGAAGCAAGCGACATCTTTGCCTCTCAGTGGCCTGCCTACATCAATATCAACCACAACTCGAACGAGCTTTGAGCGCATGCCGAAAGACCTGCCGCTTTCCACGTGGCTTCAGTGCAAAGATTCGTCCAGAAGGTCCGCCATTAAGAGTTCGATGTCCATGGGAAACCTCGAGTGTAACATGCGCATCGACTGCAAGGACCCGGTTTTCCACAGTCTGAGCTGCAGCTTATCAAGGCAGTCCTACTTCCCAGATCAGGAGGGCAAACACATGTACTATCCGTTGCACGGCATCATGAACCTCCAGGACTTGCGCCACAGACAACACATGGAATCCTACTTCTCGTCCTACATGCGCATCAGACCTGATCCTGGCAGTAAGGTCTCCAGTTCATCTCCCTTCAAGCCCAAGCAAGTTGACGATTGGGAGTGCGAGAAGCAGCGCTGCTACGAGCCATACTCCACCAGGTACACCAGGTGTACCATGCCACCAAATACCGACGCAGCCAGACATGGTCCGACACTCCACTACTGATAACAGTGCACGTGAATGAGTCTCCGACGTCATCGAAAACAGCCAAAATGCCCTTGCTTGATGCGTTGCTGCACAAAAAGCCAGAATGCTTCTGCATCATCGTTGTTCTCACCGAAAAAGGAAGGAGAATCATCGTCTATCAACCTTATAGCTTTCAAGCAGATCAGATGGATCTCCGAGCCAGGCACAGGCGAAGGACTACGTGACCACTCAAGTGCTACGAGCAGTAAATGACCACGCAGCACCTATAGAAGCTTCAGATGCAACACCAGGAGCAGAGGACAAATATGACTCCTAAGATGTATGCAAATTTTCGGAAACCCTCAGGAGTCCATGAAAGAAGGCCAATATCATACTCCTGATACTACATGCAACGCAAGAAGTGCCAAAGTCTCCAGTATGACCTGAATATAGCTAACAACATGACCAAGAAGAAGTACTCTGGCCATCATAGCAAGATTGGACGACTTCCCCCACAAGACAAGCCACCGCCTCCCCAAGCATCACTGCCTCCCCAAAGCTCTCTGTCATCGCCGTGTAACAACCCCACCTATTTCATCGTTCGCATTTCGCTCGCCAATGTAACTTCTGCTGCTGTGCATCCAAACATTGCCGCGAGTTTGGTGGCCACAGGAGTGTGTTGCGGATAAAGGAGGAAGATTGGCTTCCCCAACGGCCAGCAAGTTCATCACGCCGCTCAACGGTTCACACGACCACGCCGTGGCCCTGGGAGGATGTTAAGTTTACTGCGGAAAAACATTGACGGGAAACGCTATGCTGTGCACCAGACGTGCGAAGAAGCGAGCACAGAATCGAGGAGGGGGGCACGTGAGCACACAATAAAGAAGAAGACCCAAGTGGTCAACCAGGGAAACGCGGGTGTTGGTCTAGTCTTTGTCGTAACAGACGCAATACCATTAAGCCTGTTGCAGTCATTAGTTACATCAAATAAATTAATATGAAAACAATTTTGATAAAAGATAGGTAACAATATGAATTATGAACATCTTAACTACAAGACATCAGAGTAATTCCAGCTGAATTCATGATGCCTGAAGTGCCACATTACAGATGCAATGTCACTGTAGAGGAAGCTAGAGACTAAATGTATCTACTTTGATCTTTTTAATTAACATCGACATTAGCAGACAAGCATCTATATTCTGATTAGACATCAATTTGTATGCTAGCTAAGAGTGAAGTGGCATTTATATTTTTAATAAGTTACCTATGCTCATTTGTAGAAAAACATTCATCAAAAAGCGAACACTATTTAGAGTGGCCTTTATACATGAGAAAAGGACTGCAATCGCTTTTTAAATGTACCTTGAAGTGAATTGTGGTCCAAAACCTTGAAGCCTGAAGATACTCAAGAATATACAAATGTTGTAAAGGACCCCATAAATTCACGTTGCTATCTAGAAAATTTTCATTTACAAAACATGCAACAAGAAACTCATTAGGTCACTTAAAAAAATTTGACTTAAAGGTAGATGCAAAATAATTAGCATAGGAGAAACAAAACTAAATTACAGCAGACTTAGAAGAAAATTGTCAAGCGAGTAATAATAAACTCTTACCACGAGAACTGTTCCATCAGTAAGTGTGTAATCGTGCAAGGCTTGCCAATGTTCCACAATACAGAATGCTTGAAACAATGCCCTGTAAGAGAAAGAATGGATAGTGCTACAGTATAATAAAGGGCTGTCAAACAGGATTAAAGTAGAAAGGCACGAAATATAACGACAAATAATTAATATATTTTTCTGGGTAAAAACGCACAAGGTTCGTAGATTAAATTCACCTTATCGCCTAGTTTAATATGACAATACTAAGACTTAAGTTGAAATTGAGATGTGTTGCACAGCAGATAGACAAAGCTTGAGGACAAAATAATGACATGTCCCTGCTAGAGAAGTTCGTCAATACACAATTGCAAACTGCAATCAGGATAACGGAAGTTTCACACATCTACGCAACTTCAGCGATTATTGACAGCAGTGCGAAGCATGAATAGCTGACACGGGAGTGGTACATATTCTTCTCGCTGATACAAGATGCCCAAATTTTTAACTGCAACAATCCTTCACTGACCAAAAATGACTGTGCCTATGTTTTTTATGCAATTAGTGTGTATTGCTACCCACAAATACCTACTTCGTATTAAGGGGGCAAACTGGTCTTTGGGACCAAAAAGTGACCAAAAATTCATTTTTTAAAATTAGCATATTAGGTTTCTAAAAGTATTTTTCTATCTCTCTGGAAATTTTCACACACCAGGAAGTGGTAATTTTTTTGTAATGTCCTTCTAATTGTCCAGATTCTTGGTGCTAGTACAATGCAGAACCTGCAATAAAATGGGGAACCGACTTTGAGACTTCTTTATAATTTGCCAGCACCTGTGTTAGAAGTTCTGCTACGAATTTATGAGCACCTTTCTGAGGATTGCAAAACATGCAAACCGATGATTGTTGATTTTTAAGAAAGTGTGTGTTTTCAGTTTTTTCCATTTTTCTTAAAGTAATTTATGACTGTTCACTTTTGAGGCCTCAATATCTCTGCAGCTAAGGCAAGTTCAATAATAAATCTTTTTGCAATGAAAACCTGTGTAGGCAGAGAATACAAGTAGGGGAGCAGAATTTAGATCACAATTCTTTTTAATTAATTACTCATCAAAATTGTAACACAAGTCCGACTGCTTCTGAAAATGGATAGTTTCTTTTACTGTAAAATAACCAAGACCTAAAAACAAAAAACTCTTGCATACTTTCAATCTACATATAGCCATTAGTCTATGTTGGCATATCTTAATAATCACTTTTAATTAAGCACTTTTTTTTCTATGGCAGTCCTAAACAATAGGGAGTAAACTTAAGTTATATCAAAAACAAGATGAGTTACAGGAAAACTAATTAAATATTTGAAATCAGCAGACAAAAGTGCATAATCTTGTGCAGTTGGATCAAGATCACTGAAGAAATGAACAAAAAAATGTCTAAGACCAGTCTGCCCCTTTAAAACAGCTTTCACAGAAACACATGTATTTCAGTCATGGTCCGCAAATAGTGTCATGGTAGCTTGCTAAGCATTTCACGAGCACTCTTACCCACACACGCGCACACGCACACACAAACAAACAAACAAATTAAAGCCCCTTACATCACTGTTCACTTTGACGGCACCATGACTTGCAGCATACAAGGGATCGCAAATGGAGCATATGAGCAGGCAGTCTTTAACACACGACCAGTTGATTGCTGCAAAGCAAGAATTTTTTAATAAAAATTAGCTAATAAGGAATGTTGACTGAGAAAATCTTTTTGAAGCAAGTAAAGACATTGTCACACGAGTCACACTAATGTCGATGTGTGAATAGTAACAGTGGAATAAAAAAAAGAGTAGACTGCAACTCCTGCATTGTGAACATGCATAAACAACAAAGCTTGCTCAAATTTCGAAACATATGAGCCCCATAGTGTGTTTTCACATAAATATATATTTTTTAGGTACAAAAGCACTTACCAATAAATTTGTTTTAGTGAATCAACTGACAGAAGTGTTGTCTTTGACCTTGTAATAAAAAGAATACTTACTGACACATAATAAAACACATGCTACACTCAAACACCAAACAGTCTATTAAACGCCACACAGGCCAAACACTGCACGAGAGTCTCTCTGTTAACGTCGTCGTTTTCTTTCTCTATCTACAAAAAGGCACGTGCATTTTTAACATTCGGCTATCCTGCAACGCTTAACGTTCTCGTTAAGGCTGTCCCAAAAATGTTCTTGACTAACTTAACATTCAAATGTTCAGCGATCCTCTCACATGAAATACTTGATAAATGACACACGATAGAAACAAGATGAAAAAACAAAACAAACAGAAACAACAAAAAAAACAGCTATACTTATACACTGGCCACTGGCACGTTAAGTTCTTCATGGAACGCAGAAGTTCGCCCATTCATTGCGTGAAACTTTGAAGGAAATGTCGTAGCTTCCGGCCATCTTGACTGACTTGACCTCGAGGAAAGCGACAACATGCAGAATGCCAGTGCCCTTTCTTCTAAACTTCAGTTTCAACGCTTGGTCAGGCTCGGGCTTCGGCTTTTTGCCCTTCTGTGGCGAATATTCCTGCGGATTTGCTCCGGTGTTTCCAATGTTCTTAGCGTCGTCTAGTTCTGTTGGCTTCAGCTGCTTCGGCTCACTATCTTCGTTCGGGTTGGTCTGGGGCTCTTCGTTCTTTTTATCAGTCTGTTCTCAGGCACTTTTCACCGATTCTTCCAGTAGCTTGTTTTGTGCAACCTTGCTGTCCTCCTGCTTATCCTCATCTGTCGCATTTTGTCCGTTGGCTGCTTTTTCATCTTCTTCCTTGTTCTTTCCTTCAGTTTTGTCAGTCTTGGCTTGGCTGGTCTGCAACCTCGCCTTCCTCCTGCTTATTCTTATGTGCGGCCTTTTGTCCCTCTGCTGCTTCTTCGTCATCTTCATTACTCTTTCTTTCTTTGCCACTATGTCCTGCTGTTTCTTTCACCGTTCCGGGTTTCCCCTCGCTGTCTTTTTTCGTAGCACCAGGTTGCGAGTTTGTCTGCTTTCTTTGCAGTAAGCTTCGGCGTCAATCCTGTCTTACAGCTTTTCGTTGGCTCCGGTAGATGTCTTGAGCTTTGGTTCTTCACATATCTTCGCAGTCGGTACTTTGCTATCTACAAAGTTCCCGGCGTATAGCGGGGCTCATTCGGAAAACAGGTTCACGTGTCTTTTGTGGGCCGCAATCGGCACGACTTCTGTTTCCTGTAGACACTGGGCGTCCCCTACTTCTGCCGTGGCGCTTCCAGTTGAGGGTAGGTGATGGCCTGTCGCGTAAACTCTGGAGCCATGGTGGACAAAGGTACAACAGAAACTGTACCTCGAAATCCTCCCATAACGTGATTTGGGAGCTTCTCGAATGGTACCAGTCATTGGCAGCTCCAACCAGTCGGGCGTTGGCAATTTCCAGCCTGTAGGAGCTGAAAGCGAATAAAGTTTTGATGTTCGACGAACATTTTCAACCCACTCGGCAAGCCGAAGTAGCATCTTCGGAGCCGTAAAAGGGGCTGATATTGCGGCTAAAGCTGAGTTATCACCTGGAAAGTTGGCACTAGTTGAGACTGTGCTTTGCTGGCCGAAATCAGTCGTTCCAGAAAGGTCGATATCTGTCTGTTCTCTTCTTGAAGAGCTTGCAGCAGTTCACGAGCCGTGATTGTGTCTCCGTGGCTGAAGTCCGTGTCTCCACCGCTACTCAGGTTGACTCTATTGTCAATACGTTCCATACCAGGGTAAGGGTTACCAGTTTCATGCCCTGGTGAAACTCACATCCGTTGGCGACTGGAATTTCCATCCCACTACTGAAGCGTTGCCTTCGACCTCATAATGAAAAGAATACTTTACTGACACATAATAAAACACACGCCACACTGGCTACACTCAAACAGGCTACTAAACGCCACACAGGCCAAACACTTCACGAGGGTCTCTCTGTTAACGTCGTCGTTTTCGTTTTCTATTTACAAAAAGGCACATGCATTTCTAATAGAAGGCATACTCGGCACATACAGAAGTGCTGAAGTCAGCGCGCAATGCTTGACTAATCAAACTTAAAAATTATCCAGCATGGTAACCAGAATTTTTCGTGCTGTCGATGGGTGTCGGGCAAATGAAATTGGTGTTTGTGTTGAACATGCTTTGCGAATAAATTGGCATTTCTGTTGTCTTGGTCTTTACTCTTATGTGCATGTTTGTGTGCCAACCATCTTTTAAAGGGGCTATGACACAGTCACCCATCATACCGTGCTTTCTGACGAAATATAGAAGAAAAGTGTCTATTGTACCTCTGCGTGTTAGAAAAACGGACCGTAATAAAATATTTCATTGCAAAACGAGCCCTAGAAGTGACCAGCTACAAACCCCGCCAATCGCCAGAAACGGCAATTTTATCATGGCGCGTGTGATGTCATGTGATTCGTGCAAGGAAGCCGTGGTCTTCTACCCAAGTTTCTGCCGCTACAAACAGTTCACTTTTCAATGAGAAATTGAAGAAAGCTCAAATAACTCCATTGCATGTGCAGCTGACAATGAAACAATATTGTTACGAAGTAAAGGAAGATGAAGGACAGAATCAGCTGACAGGCGCGCGAGTGTGACAAGGTAAGGCATGTCCTGAAAGGAATTGCCGACGACGCGTTCAATCTCCTGCTGTGCAAGAACTGTTCCACCGTGGACGCGATCATCAGAGTGTCGTCAGTTTGAGCAATGTAAAAAGTCGCCGCATTCTGCAAACATTCACCCGACTTCCAAACACCGCTGCAACATCGACTTGCGTGGACCAGTCCGCACCACAACGACCGTCGCCGCCGAAAGACCTGACACGCATTGTTCGTTGGGAAACGGAAGCAATGGCGCCCTCGGTGTTCAATTCGCGCAGTACCGATACTACTCCTGTTACTGTTCCTCTTGTTCAAGCCATCGTGTGCCAGGAGCTTGAAAACATCGGAGTGCATTCCGTGTGCCATGTCACCGCCCCCAGAGACAGTGAACGCTCTTTCACGATGCCCTCCACCAACCGAAGGTTTCCTCCACGTAACTCGAAACCCGGCTGAGTGGCGAACTGCAGATGACCCCCCTATATGTTTCAACCGCCACCGCGTTGGACATATTGCTCGTTACTGCCGCAACACATGGTCCTCGGCACCTCGTGCAACTACCAATATGAACCGTTTCTGCGGTACCGGCCGCACATTTTCACCTGCCGAAGAGTCCCATGCCGTTGACCATTCTCGGAACACATGGTACAGCCGCTCGCCTTCACGTGGGCACCAGTCTCGTTCGAAAATGCTTGCAAAGCAAGCGGCTTGTTACGTCATTGGTCGCGAGTGCGTCACTGTTTTCAAACTCTTGGGCTGCTCATGTGTTTATAAAAATGTTCGCTATAAGTTAGTTCTTGATCAAATGCACTGAAAGTTTTCCAGGTTGCTTGTTGACACCCACAGATTAACCCACATAACTTACCCAAGTCTTCCTGACAGATTGCAGCAGCATTTTGTCTCCCAGCAATGATCAAGCACTATTTTTGAGGCTAATAGCATTCATCACCATGCAGTTTGATTTTAGTATTTCAGTCGCTAAGCACTACACTTTATAAGCACCTGGCAAGGCGGAAATCTCGCATAGCAGCAGGACTGATCTTCCTGCAAGTTGGTACTGATTTATATTGTATGCACCACATTAGACGAATATACTGCCTACTAAAGCTGGTATGTTGCTTTGGGGCAATCAAACAATCAATAAACAAATTAAACTTAATGGTCAAACTTCATAACAAAAAAAATGTCAAGGTGCATTAGTGATTTTATTTACATCAAACTAAATATTATCATAAAAAATTTTAACTAGAAGCTAAACATTGATATAATTATCTGTCTGATTGGGTGAACGAATTTGGACTTGTAAATAAAGGCATCCTTTTTTTGGAGCCTTATGAAAGTTAACCTTCTAACTACAACATCCTTCACTTATAATACATGGACCACAGCTTATCCTGATATTTCCTCACTGTAGAACCGAACGAGGACACCATTCTACAGAACTCTTCCAAATAAACTGCGGTCAAGTCCTTTTATAAGAGACACTGATATAAGAAACAAATGAGTGTAAGAGACACGAGTGTGCCTACAGTAAATTACAAGTTGATAAGAAAATGCATACATGGTACCCTGCTTATCAGAGACATCTCATAAAAAGGACAATAACAGGGTTTGTGCAGGTTTTCAAAGCAAAACTTCAAGGGATATTCAAGGACTTTCCAAGGCCTGTTGCAGGTTATTCATGCTCTCGCAGCATGCAAACTTGGAATTTTTTCCTCTAAAATCTTCAGATATGGCTAATTTTATGGTACTTACATAAATGGGCATAGTTAATTAATTGGGCATCACAATTACAACAAAAACATCTAGTAGCCTTGATAGGTTCTCAAGAACACAACACATACTTACAAGAGTCATTGAGATTATAAGAATCCCCGCCGCGGTGGTCTAGTGGCTAAGGTACTTCGCTGTTGACCAGAAAGCCGCAGGATCGAATACCGGGTGCGGAGTGGCTGCCTTTTCGATGGAGGTGAAAATGCTGTGTGGCCGTGTGCTCACATTCGAGCGCACGTTAAAAAAACCCAGGTGTTCGAAATTTCCAAAGCCCTCCACTTTGACGTCTCTCATAATCATAATGTGACGACGCGGGATCGACGAGCACACAAAGCTCCTCAAACAAATACGCTTTATCGATCGCAGGAAAAAGACTGCAACGACTTCTTCGTCTTTTGCCCTCGGTCAAGGACACTGGCGCTGCTTCGTTCTCGCCACCACTGGCACATACGCGCGGCATTATTTCCTCTTTAAAAAAAACATCGCCCCTATGTTAAACGTTCGAGAAGCAAGGCGAAACCAAAACTTCACAGTTAGTCACTGAAAATAAGGTTTCATCCGAAGCACGTGGACAATGTCTGGTAAATGTCTGCGGCGCTTCGAACACTGCAGGCTGTCCGGAGCAACCTCGCACACTGGTGAAGGTGCGGGGGATGTGCGGGCGTGAAGCCCACAACGTGGTTCAATAGTGGGTCCCCGCTTACCTACCAGCGTCGGAAAACCGATTTGTGGCGTACCGCTGACCGTCGACTGGTATGCTTTCATTGTGGCGAAGCTGGCCACGTTAACAGAGTTTGCCCTTATCGCGACGCTCAGTACTCGATGTTTCCTCGCTACCATGATTACCCTACATACGACGATCGATGTACGTACAACGACACTCCTATGAACACACCGCTACAGAATTCAACGAGGCCCGGGTCACGTTCTCCATCTCCTTCACCTAATTGTCGCAGTTTTGCCGACGTCACCAGGGGCAGGTCCCCCAGCCCGCGACGGGGAAACTAGACGCAGCGACCTCGGGGGGTGGGGTTGCCAATAATCGAACTTCCGAACAGCCCCCATTGCAGACATATGACAGCTCGAAGCTACCGATGCCGAAGACGATGACAGCAACGACTTCTTCGTCTTTTGCCCTCGTTCAAGGACACTCGTGCTGCTTCGTTCTCGCCACCACTGGCACATACGCACGGCAATATGGTGGTTTTGAGACGTTAAATCCCACATATCAATCAATCACTTAGGATTAGGAGAATGATTGAGATAGCATTCATTGCTACGCCCCACCGACAGACAAACTGAATTTTTTCCCAGTGCAGTTTCGCAAAAAGAGCCATGTGCGTTCACGTTAAATTACTGTATATAAACTTGGGGGTTAACAGCAATCTACCACATTAAGGAGGTTGAAATGCCAATCTGGGAGCGCACTGTTAAAAAAATTCAAGGATTTTCAAGGACGAGAAAAAATTTCAGGACTCTGAAGGGCCTTGAAAACGAGTTATTCAAACTCAAGGGTTTTCAAAAATTTCAAGGACCTGTATGCTGCCTGCAAGAATTGCCCCCCAGAGCATGCCTCTTATGTTCAACTGTATCAGTAGATGAAAGAGATCTGCCATAACATAAGCCGGTAACACATCACCGTAATCTGGTAAGATATAGTGAACAGTATTTAGAGTAAAGTTTGGTTATTAAATCACTTTTGCAATATATGAAGCAAAAATGATTTAACTGACTGAATGCTAACATATACTGATGTTTATGGCTGGTGAGGTAGCATACAAAGTAAGCAAAAGTTTAAAGTTAAAGGGTTCCTTAACCACCTTGGATATTTTTTTTTCGAAAATCTTAAGTAAACACATGCATTGTGTGCAGAATACCGTCATGATCAACGATTCCACACGTGGCAGTGCTATGAGCCGTTGGCGCGCCACAAATTTAGAGAAAACAATCCTTCTTTCTCTCTGGGCCTTTCTGGCCACAGCGTGTCGTCAAGAAGCTGAATCTCTGATGCATAATGCAAATCATGCTGGGATTGGTCGAGCAAGGGCCTACAACTTCCACTTAGTCTTCAAGCAGCTGATCGCGCTTTTTGTTGTTTATCATGTAGCCCACGTGAGCCATCTCCCAGCAGCACACGTTCTTCTAGCCATGCACAGACCCCATGTGCACCTGCATGCCACGCGAGATTGGGAGGGGTGCTCGGCGAGAAAGAAAAGCAGCTTTGGGAGAGGATACCAACAGAGGGCGGAGAAGAAAAGGGTGAAGGGGGCGTTCACCACATTTCGATAATCAAATGCGTCTGACTCCACCATGACGGCTTTATTTTGAAAAATTCTCACAGCTTCTCGTTTGTTTTAAACTCGTGCACAACAACCCCCACCACAGCAAGTTTCGACCTCTGAATAGTTTAGGGGCCCTTTAACATTACAAAGAAGCAAAATAATATTGCCATACCGACATCACTGCAGGTCAAAATCATGTCAGTGCTGCAGACCCAAACGCCTGGAGGACCATTCTGTTGCATCTGACAGAAAGGTACAGAGAGTTCATTACACCAGTTAAGAAAATCAAACTCAGTCACTTCAATGCATAACCGAGTCCCAAAACAAGCTGTAGCTCATCTTTCTATAAATTTTCTTGTGGAGCTAGGCGACTTGTTGCCATTTACTATGCTAAGAAAGCTGTTAACAACTAAACACCAAAATAAACACATGTCCTACATTTCAGAAGCCTTGGGACAATGTCAAATAATGGTAATGCATAGGAAGAACCATGTCAATACCGCCAGCTTCTCTTAATTCGATCATATAAACTTAAGGACTGTTAGCAAATATATAGCAAAATTAAAGGACACCATAACATTTCAATAATGTATGCCTCAACTTGCTTGAACAAAAGCTTTTGCTGGAGTCAAGTAATTAAAGAAGTAGGCACTGTGCAAATTATCTTGCAAAACTGTGTTTACAATACCGTTACTCGAAATAATCATGCCCTAAACCTCGCCCCTTTTCACGCACACACCAATCTATTCAAATTTAGCTTTTTTCCTAGAACGATAGAACAATGGAATTTACTGCCGGGTGAGATTAGGAGTGCATCGATAAATCAATTCCTGCCTTCTCTTGGAAGTCGTATCTAACCAATAGTTCCTTGCTTTGTTCTGTTAATATGTACGCCCCGCAGTGCCCATTCATTGGATGTTTATTTTTGTACTGAATGGAATTGCCATGTATATTGTATTTTGTTCGTGTGTTATATTGTAGTGTGTTCCCGGAAGTGGTACTTTTGTAATTCACTGCTCTGTTTTTTTTTTCACCCACTCCTGCTATAGCCCTTAATGGGCTGCAGTATGTGAATAATAATAATAATAATAATACATGTCCTTAGTTTATGAGAAAGTGCTGCAATAAAATGCAGCAATGTGGAATGTTGGACAAGTTGGTTGACATCCATATTTATTGAAGTATAACAGGAAAGGAAACACGTGGGACAAAGAAATTTTCGTGCCCTTATTCTGTGCATTTGTACCCTTGCAATAAGGAATGCTGTTTCCATTCCTGATGTGGTGCTGAAGATTACTGCAGGCAGAACTTGGGTGCTTCGTTGAGAGTCTTAGTGAAGGCTACAACAGGAGTGGATATGGTGGGTGTTTGACAATTCAGAGCACCATCAGCCGCTGTAGCACGGGAGAAGGCTGCTTTGCATATATAGATCCCGTGTGACAGGCAATACATATAGCTGTGTACCCATTTGACAGCTATCAAGCTGAGCTCTCGCAGGATAACTGCTAAATGGGCATTGTTGATAAAGGTTCATAACGAAAAAAGTGCAACTTGCATGAAGACTAAGAAAGAAAACACTGGACAGGGTGCTTTCGTCCCGTGTTTTGGAAGTGTCCGTGAAAGTTGCACTCTTTTCCTTTATCAAGCTAGACTCTTACACCTTCTTTATTCGGCATGTTCGCTATGTGAGTGCACAACCTTGCCAGTGGTTCTCTCTTTTAACCCTTAGCAGTCCAAAACTTCTACCGACCTTCTGTCTCTTGTAGCGCAAAGCTAAAGCAGTCAAAGCTCAAGAAAAAGAAGTTGACTAACTCATTTAGAGATGACTCATCATGCAATAAGAAAATACACGCATACATCAACCACAAAAGAACTTGTGCAGTGTCTGATTGCGAATTGCTGTGGTCGTGTTGTGTTCTAAGAAGCACCCAACAATGGACCACAAAGGGTCGACTGCAATTAGGCATTTCATGAAGTTGGTTATTATGCAAGTAACATTAACACTACCTAGAATGCACATGTGAGCTTGAAAACAATCAATGAATTCATAAAGCTGAAGTAAGTACAGTGATGGTTAATGAAGTAGAATAAAGTGTGAAACAAAGCTTCTACCATAACACTGTTGCACAATTTGGTGTTCAAAAAAGCTATTGCCCATATTATCCTCTTCAGGCGTGAAGTATAAACTGTCCATAAATGTCTTATTTTGTACAACATTCTAAGATGCTCAGTATTTCATTCCAAGAAAAAATATTAAGAAATGGGTAGTTTTTTGGTGAACTTTGATAATCGCTTTTATTTGCATAAATTTAAATATGTAATCATTTGGCGTTCGGTCATGTCCAATTTTTACACATAAAAATGGAAATCTTACGCTCAAAATGCAAACGCAGTTCGTTTTTGGCTGTATTATTTTGAGCAAAAAAAATAATACTTATAATGTTGGTCCTGGAACGGGGCAGGTTGAGTGACCCGTCAAACATTGCAGTGCTTTCACTAAAATAATCAGCTGCAGATCTATGCAGCGCATTGGGGTTAAATCAAGACGCAGTGATTACGAAGAAGGTTCAAATATTATGTGCAATGTATCTTGCCCTTTCTTTCAGGCAAAAGCAAGTTGCGCCCACATATGTGGACGCAACTTGAACGGGTTTTTTGGTGTAACAGTGTTAACCCTTTCTCTACTGAAGTAGCCTGAGCAAGTCCACACAGCTTATGCTGGTCCCACTGGACAAACTGTGCTCGTCCGTCCTGTAACAAGCATTTGGGGGCACTGCAGTTAAGCTAACCTAATTCACTTTGTTGAGTTATTTTTGGCTTGTATAGATGGTGCAGTAAATATTTTTAAATGCACTCAAAGCATGCATTGGCTGGAAAAAGGGCTTGTTTTGGTAACCGGAAATATAAAACAACGTCCACCTCAGTGCATGAGTGGGACACGCAGGCTGGCAACAGCTCTGTTCAGAAGAAAAGAAAAAATGCTTGTTTGTCAAAATTTTGTGGAATGAATAATTTCAGTTCGCCTGCAAGTGTGGCAGTGATTGCACAAAGCAGCATGTTTTCTCTAAATCATCAGATTCATACAGCGACCATGTTGACGCATCGGCAGTGGATGCAGACATATGCAACTGCCACTGGAACATCTAAGTTATTTTTTCATGGGCTCACTTGCCCCAATGTCACAATTTTTTTTCAAAATTTGAATCGACATTTTTATGTCACATTTTTTTTTCGAAATTCAAATTGACATTTTTTGCACAGGAGACTCAGGATCCTTTCAATTGTGAAATGCAGTGAAGCCAATTATCTGCATATTTCCCAAAAAATGTATCTTACAAATACAGCCACCATTAGACAGTTTTTTTTTTTCATTGTTTCAAGACATGCATAACCAAACAAATAAAAAACAGCCATTTTCTATTGTTTCTGGCTAAAAAACTCTGGAAAGGGTGAATAAAGTGTGACCAGACTATGCACAATAAGCATAAAGAAATTGTGTACCTGAGAAGTGATATTGAACAGATTCTCTAAGTTGGTAGAGTGACCATTGATCTGGTCAATGGAAACAGCATGAATTTCTGGCACGCTCATAAAAGCCTTTCCACATGGTTCCAGAGGATATTCTCTGCCCTGCAAGGTTAAATATACAAGAACAGTACTTTACAGCTTTGTGAGAAGTGCATTTAAGATTTTGGTATAATAAAAAAGCTTGCATATGATGTCACAGCACTGATGGTTTCATAGTGATGGCAGTAGTAAGAAAACAAGAGCAACAACACAGCATGACAAGTGCTTTATTGTACTCCAGTAAGATAACAGTGCAACCTCTTGCATGAGCTCTTTTTGACGGCAACATGATGACTTAATGTCGCCTGGCAGTTCAAATTGCAAGCAGCCACCAGGAAAGAATAGGGAAAACTGGTGTGCTTTTGATTTTATAAGCAGCTTGTTTTTAAGTGACCGGGTAGCACTTGGGCTGGTTGGTCCTTCAAGATTGTGTTAAAGCGATACACCATAGTCCTTCAATAGATATGCCAAGGAAGGGGTCAAGAAACCCATTTTACCTTGTTGGACACAACCATATCAAGCCAACATGATGATGCCAAGGAAAACATAGGGGATGCTACCTGTAGTCTTTAATTGAAGGGTAGCAATTATGTGAAAATGAGAAAACAAATTAAACTGGATGAAGAGACAAGTTGCCACCTACAAAGACCAACCCACAACCTTTGCATTACACGAAGATTGTGGGTTATATACAAATGTGGAGGACTGTGGTATAATTGACAATTGTTCACACATTCCATTTTTGCTTGTGGCCTGAAAGAGAACGGCAAACTGGATGAAGAGACAAGTTGCCACCTACAAAGACCAACCCACAACCTTTGCATTACACGAAGATTGTGGGTTATATACAAATGTGGAGGACTGTGGTATAATTGACAATTGTTCACACATTCCATTTTTCTTGTGGCCTAAAAGAGAACGGCAAGCATGCACATGCTCTTTGTTCTTAAATCGTAATTTAACACATAGGCTGCTCTTTGTAACATGCTAGTTTGCACAAATCAAGTGTGCCTGCATTTGGGACTTGATGCCTTCCAGCTTGAAATCCACTATTACACAGGAACCTACTGTAAAGAGCCTGGTATCAGGCAACAAATGCATTGCATAAAAAATTGAAAAATCAGCAGTGTTGTACACCAAATCCAGCACTTTCATTGCTTAGCTTGAACGTGTATGCAATTTAGTAAGTGGAGCCTATGATAAATCTAAAATAAAATGAAAAGGTTAGTTTTGAGGGGTAAGTTTAATGGTTAAAAATGATCTCATTGCAGCTCTTCTCAGTTTGTCACTGGTCTGAATACTAAAATAAATAAGAAAAAATAGGGGATCAAAGTGAAAAAAAATGGTCCAGTGTTGCTAAGCTCAAGTGCTTTTACGTTTGCTTCAGCGAACCAAAATAGATAGGATGCATGTGTCTACTCAATGTAACTGCGCTAGTGAGAGGTTTACGAGAGAAAAGAAAAAGAATGGAGAAAACATAGCCACATTAAAACAGGCCCCAACAAATAAACTGTGATTTGAACAGTGTGTCGTAAAGTCAACAGTAGATATCTTACATGATGCAGTATTAAAATCCGGCTTTTTTCAAGCACATCAGGGGACACTACCTGCAAGAAAATATAGCAATATAAATGTGATTAATATCATGATATCGCGAAAGCAATTACAAATACTGTTTAACGAGGAGGTGTTGCCAAGCTCCAGAGAAAGAGGCGAGGTGGAGGCATCTGCCGCGCTACCCCTTCACTCAAGCCGAAATTCTGCAGCTTATTCATCTACAATGTAACCAGTTTAAATTAGTTAACTGCCATTACTGCAGTGCCAGTCCTCCAGAAATGGAACCTTGGAAGCTTCTACACAAAGCAGCACGGATGCCATGGGTCGAAGCCGCAAAAGATGCAGAAAACCACCGTAACTAATCAGACACCAGAAAGAGCAGGTCCCAACACGGCTTGTTGCTCAGCTAGTTGCTTTCATATTCGAGAAAAACTGGGGAGATGCAAAAATGACGGGAACGAAGACAGAACACGAACCGACACACACGGGCTAGTTTGTGTTTTTTTTTTTTTCGTCTCCGTCCTTTTTGCACATAACCAATTTTTTTCAACTGGGGCTCCCCTTCTTTTAATAAGACCTCGGAGTGCGACTAGCTGTGCGCGACATTTCAATGGGAGCTATTTAATAGCTCAGGAATTCATCTTAAGATATCAGATTAGTGCACTACAGTGTTGACGTCTAGCAATTCTCAACTTACTGTATATCCATTTTCAGCACTCAAGTATTCTGTCACTACCAGAAGTGCATTCAATGTGGCAGCTCCACTGCCGATGTTACTTGCAGGGTCCTCGATGGTAAGTATTTTGGCCGATTTAGAAATGATATTCCGAGCTTGAAGTATCCGCAGTTCTGAAATAGATTCACGTTGAGCTTGACACTTACAAGTCGATGGAAGCAGATACAGAGGACACGCGCCGGATGTTTGACATCACCTGCTTCAATCGCAGTTGCCCACTTAAGAGAGGAGCAAGTGACCACAATGCAGTCAAAGATAGACATTGCGCTTTGGTGATGCCGGAGCCAAAAGCAATTATCAAAGGCTGTTGACTAAAGAGCGCATGACAACGAATGTTGGGCGCTCTAAGCTCTACAGAAATATCACTCGGCAAAATGTCAACACCTTCAGCTAGGCTGTGGCTATCTTTGGCTATAACCGCTATAACGCTTAATTTTTGTGCGACGTCTGGCAAAGCTTAAACAAAGCCAGGACAAGCCAGAACAACGCCTCCTCTAGGAAGATGCCTGCTGCATGAGAAAAAAAAAGCAGCTGCCACACCCTTTTCCTCCTTCATTTTGAAAATGTTCTCGGTCGCTAGCGTCACCTGTGGCGGACGGTGCAACAACGCAACACTTTGCATAGCCTCCAAAACAGTGATGCACAGTTGCAGGTCTCGAACAACTCTCGACTGACGTGCCCCTATGGGCCGCAGATGAAAAACGCTTAGCTGATACCGCCCGTTGCCGTGATGATGATGATGATGATGATGACTATTAAAACCTCCCCTTTGAATCGGGGTAACGGCATGCGCCATCTAGCCTACCTTAATAGTTCGAGTTTAAATTCTGTCCCTCAACTCGGACGTCTTTTTAATTTTGCTCAGCCGCTACTCTTGGCTGGGATGTTATTTTATCGACTTCTCTGCTTTTCCTCCACCAATACTCCAGCCGCTGCTTAGTAATACCTACTGCTGACCAGTTAATGCTTCCATCAACCGCGAAGCCCAGCGCCTCAGGAAGTGTGACCTTCCCCCCATTTCTATCCGGCTGAATCTTTTGACATTCCATGACTATGTGGCCGATTGTTTCTTTATTTATGCCACATCCAACACATGTCTCATCCTGTGACGAATATTTGCTCCGGTAAGTTAGAGTTCTCAAGCAGCCAGCCCGCGCCTCAAAGAGCAACGCACTACCTTTATTGTTGTCATAAAAGTTCTCTTTCCGGATCTCTTGTTTGCTTGCCTTGTAGATTTCCAGCGATCCCTTCTTTTCCATCCTCTCTTTCCACATGAGCGTCTCTGTTTCCCTCACTTGCTTTTTAACTGGCCCCCTTTGCTTATTTGCCGCGGTCAAGTTATATTTAGTCGCCAGCTTTCGCGTCCTCTTCCGCCATTTGGTGTCCACACTTTCCAGGTACAGGTATCTGTGCACTCTGGCTGCCCAGTTCTTCTCAACTAAATGTCTAAGTCGCTCCTCAAACCGTATTTTACTTTGTGCTTCCCTCGCCTCAAATGAAGCCCAACCCATATCGCCTTGTACAGCCTCGTTTGTAGTCTTACTGTGAGCTCCCAGAGCTAACCTGCCGACTGCCTTTTGGTTAACCTCCAGCCCCGACAGGATATCTGACTTTAAGCATAATACGGCATTAGAGAACGTGAGCGCCGGCACCATTACCCCTTTCCAGATGCCTCGTACTACCTCGTACTTATTGTGTCCCCAAAGTGCTCTATGTTTCATTACTGCTGCATTTCGTCTCCCTTTCAGTTTGAGGTGTTCTTCATGAGCATTCAGGTAGCCTTTTCCTTCATTAAGCCAGATCCCCAAGTATTTGTACTTATTTACTAATGGTATGGCTTCCTGTTGTATCCTTATTGGTGCTACATGAGCTTCCTCGTTGAACACCATGACTCCAGATTTCTGTGGGTTAAAATGTAGGCCTAGGTACGTTGCTTCATCACCACAAATGTCAGCCAGTTTTTGAAGTTCTTCCGCATTATCCGCCAGCAGCACTATATCGTCTGCGTACATCAATCCCGGAATCCGTTGCTCCACTAACACTCCATTGCTTCGGTGTGACAAATCAAAGCCCAATCCACTCTCCTCTAGTCGTCTTTCCATTCCTCTAATGTACAGTGTGAACAGCACTGGCGAAAGAGGGCACCCCTAGCTGTTTTAAACCTCTTCGAATGTACACGGGCTCTGTGTATGTACGCCCTTCCCATGTAATGTGTGCCTTGTTACCCTCATATATTGCCCTTAGCAGCCCTACAAATTCCGGGGGAGGGTTCGCAAAGCAGATTGCGAAGGGGATCACTGAGCTGAGGGTGACCTCGGAGGATGTGCAGATTGCTGTCTGCACGGTGCCGGAGGTGCAGAAACAGGGAGTCCACGTAGAAAGGGCGGTGGTTACGGCAAACACGGAGCTTTGGACTCTGGGTAAAACGATGAAGTTCGAAAAGGTCAACCTAAACCGAAACCAGGTCTGTGCAGGCCGCAACAGGGCGTTTGTGTCTGACGGCATACACTTCAGTAACCGTCTAGCTGAGCATGTAGGGCACCGATTTCGCCCTCTTTCGCCATTGCTGTTCACACTGTACATTAGAGGAATGGAAAGACGACTAGAGGAGAGTGGATTGGGCTTTGAGCTGTCACACCGAAGCAATGGAGTGTTAGTGGAGCAACGGATTCCGGGATTGATGTACGCAGACGATATAGTGCTGCTGGCGGATAATGCGGAAGAACTTCAAAAACTGGCTGACATTTGTGGTGATGAGGCAACGTACCTAGGCCTACATGATGGATGGATGGATGGATGGATGTGGCTGTACCCTTTAGATCGGGCGGCGGCTAACGCCACCTAGCCGTAATACTTAGTGAACTAACCATTACATTTATCTTTTTTTTTTCCTTTAAATAATGAAGTTGAGGATTCGTACTTCGCAGTGAAGGATTTAATTTTCACTCGTGCCTTGACTTTAGCCACCAATCAGATAACCTCCTTCTAGTTAAGTCTACCCGCTTAAAGTCTATTTTGCCCTCGCTGTCCCTAAATCCCAGTGCTTTGAAAAACTCTGCGCCATCATCCTGAACTATAGGGTGAAGCCCTTTACAGAACATTATCAAGTGTTCGGCAGTTTCTTCTTCCTCTCCACACGCACTGCATACTGTGTCTACCCCTTCGTATTTGGCCCGATATGTCTTGGTTCGCAGTACTCTCGTCCTGGCCTCAAACAGTAGAGAACTACCCCGAGTATTATCGTAGATCCTTTCCTTGGCAATTTCCTGCTTAAAAGTTCGATAGATCTCTAGTGCGGACTTCTCAATCATTCCCATTCTCCACATGTCAGTCTCCGTTTCCTTCACTTTCTTCTTAACCGATAGTTCTTTTTGGTTTGGCCACCTGCTGTTTTCTAAGTATTTACCAGTCAACTTTCTGGTTCGCTTCCTCCATTTTGTATCGACATTCTTCATGTACAAGTAGCTGAAAACCTTCCTAGCCCAACGCTCTTCTCCCATTTCTCTCAATCGCTTCTCAAATTTTATCTTGCTGCTAGCTTCCCTGCCCTCAAATGATGTCCATCCCATATCACCTTGTACTCCCTGATTTGGTGTATTCCCGTGAGCTCCTAAAGCAAGCCTACCTATTCCACGTTGCTTAATTTCTAATCTTGCTTGAACTTCTGATCTCATGCACAAGACCGCATTGCCGAACGTCAGCCCAGGAACCATGACCCATTTCCATATTCCTCTCACAACATCATACCTATTGTAATTCCACAGTGCCCTATTTTTCATGACTGCTGCATTTCTGTTACCTTTAGTCGTCACGTATATTTCGTGTTCCCTCAGATACTCGGTCCCATTGCTCATCCATACGCCCAGATATTTGTATTTATCTGTTATCTCTAGCGTGACCTCCTGTATTCTAAGCTCACTACTTTCGTTGTCATTGAGAATCATGACTGCTGATTTTTCCTTACTGAATCTAAAATCTAACCTATCTCCCTCATTACCGCAGATGTCCATCAATCTCTGCAAATCTTCCTTGTTGTTGGCCATTAGCACTATATCATCTGCGTACATTAATGCTGGTAGTGCCTGATCAATAAGTTTTCCTTGTTTGACTAAAGAGAGGTTGAAGCCCAGTCCACTTCCCTCTAATTTTGCCTCTAATCCTTGTAGGTACATCATGAATAATAAGGGTGACAGGGGGCACCCCTGCCTAAGCCCCCGTTTTACCTCTGCAGGCTTGGATACCTGTTTTTCCCACTTTATAACTACCTTGTTACCTTTATAGATACCCTTTAAAAGATTAGTGACTACATGTCCCACGCCTAGTGTGTCCAGTATTCCCTACAATTCCTCTTGAACCACGCTATCGTACGCTCCCTTGATATCCAAAAATGCTAGCCACAGGGGCCTGTGTTCCTTTTCTGCTATTTCGATGCACTGCGTCAGTGAGAACAGATTGTCTTCCAACCTCCTGTGTTTCCGAAACCCATTCTGCAGTTCCCCCAGTACCCCCTCATCCTCTATCCACGCCTGCAGTCTTTCCTTTATAATCTGCATCGCCAGTGGACCACTGATGTCACTGTTATAGGACGGTAGTTGTTTATGTCAGCTTTGTCCCCCTTTCCTTTATAGATCATGCTCATCCTGCTAAGTTGCCATTCATCGGGAACTTCACCATCGATTATTATTGTGCTCACTGCCTCTCTCAAAGTCTGCTTAGACTTCGGACCTAATGTCTTTATCAGCCTAATTGGAACGCCATCTGGGCCTATTGATGTACTACTAGGAACCCTTTTCTCAGCCCTTTCTCACTCTTGTTGTGAAAATGGAGCCATTGCACCACTTGATTCGTCCTTGTCTATTGTGGTGCATAAAGTACTTCTTTGTTGAAATTTTTCTGTCACCCTTGTTCTTATATATTCAATAGCTTCGTCCCCTTCTAGCCTAGCACCTTGGGCTGTAGTTATAAAACTCTGCTCTAGGCTCGTCTCATTTCTTAGGGAGTTTAGATGGTTCCAAAATTTCGCAGCTGCCTTTATATCTTTTTTATGTACTTCTGCCAGCCACTGAGCTCCCTTCCTTCTAATATTTTCATTGATCAGAAGGGATGCATTCCTTCTACAGCTTAGAAAGGTTGCCCATTTTCTTTCAACATCATCTGTCGGTTCACCCCGCTGCTTAGCATGTCTGTGTTCCCTAGAGGCTTCCTGACGTTTTGCTATGGCTCTCTTAACTTCCTCATCCCACCAACTTTTGGGTTTGTGTCTTCTTTTCCGGGGTGACTTGCCACGCGTCTTAGCAAGCTCTAGCTCAAAGAGTCTAATTAGATTCGTGTATGTCCACACTGTCTTATTATCCTCCGTGATTACTTTCTCAATTTGTTTAGTGGCTATTTCAATTTGCCTTTCTGGATAAAAATTTTCCTGTAGTTGCTCATCTTGTCTCCTTCCCACTTTCACTGCTCTTCCAAAACTTAGCTTGATACGTTTGTGATCGCTACCCAGAATTCTGGAGCCACCTTCATCTATGTGCATTCCCCTGAGCTTATCATACATCCTATGTGACATCAGTGCATAATCTATCGTCTACTGAAGTCTTCCTACCTCCCATGTTATTTGCCCTTCACACTTCTCGGTACTGTTGCAATTGATCAAATTAAGCCTTTCACACATATCCATGATAATTTTGCCTGTCGGATCGGTATACCTATGTGCGCATTCATGTCTCCTAGTATAATTATCTCGCACTCTCTTCCTAACTCCTGAATGTCCTTTGATATACACTCTACCATTACCTGGTTTTCCTCTGTGGCCTTTGCTCCCGTCCACAAGTACACGAAACCAAGGAGTGTCAGTTGACCTGCCACTTTCCCTTTTAGCCATAAATGTTCCTTGCACTCCTGCTTGACCCTTTGCCAGTCTGTACTTTTATGAATGAATGCCCCAATACCACCTCCCTTTCTGCTGCCTTCTGTTCTATTACAATATTCCCACGCGTAGTCCGGATTGTTTGGAGGTTGTTCCATGTCCCTGAGATGTGTTTCTACAAAACCACATACCATCGGCCTCTCTTCCTTTAGCTGTTCTTCTATCTCTTCCCACTTCAGCCTGTTCCTACCACCCTGCATGTTAATATACCCTATGTCTGAATTGGCTCGGCGCTCGTGGCTACGTCTATTTATGCCCCGGACTCTACCTATCTTAGATATTGGTGCCACTTTGGAATCGTATCTGTCCAAACTACCTGTCGAAGAGTCTCCCTGGTTATTTTCCCCGTTACTAGCTATCCTGCACCCCGAAGGGCTCGCTTGCCCCCCAAAAAAGCTACTGCGCGTCCTGCAAGTCGCCAACCCACCTCATGACCTAGCCGCCCATCGAAGTGAATTCTGTCTCGTTGAAAACCCCCCCACCTATGCACCTCTCTGTTTATTTCCACCACCTCAAAGCCCTGCTCTCGACTCATCCGCCATATCTCTTGGTTTGCGTTGACCACCGCTCTTTGCAGGCTGTTATCACGCACCGGTACCTCCGGTATCGTGCATATCACTACCTGCACCTTAGGAGAAGTGGCGCGCATGTCATCGACGCCTTTCGCCAGTGTGGCTGCTAGTCCTGCTGCATCTTCATTTAGGACATCGTTTAAACCACCTAAAATTATCACGAGGTTTCGTCTATCAGCTGTCGTTTTGAGCTTTGCGCTCGCTTGCTTCATGACTGCTTCCAGCTTGCGTCCTGGGAACGTCCCTACTGCAACCCTCTTGTCACCTCTTACCCTCTCTTTGATGGCTTCTGTGCATCGATTTAAATTTGAGTCTCCGGCGATTATCGCATGCTGTGACTTTTCCGGTGGAGCGTTCTGCACCTGGGGGCTACTTGCACCTGTGACGCCGGCTGCTTTGTTCCCTCCCTGCCCCACCACTACCTCGCTGAAGCTGGGCCTTGCGACAGTTGAACCGGCTAAACCTGTTTTTTCCAAGCTTGCTTGCTTTTCCTTCTCCACCGTTCTGGTTGCCGGTTCCCTACTGTTCTCTCGGTAGGTCGCTTCTTTGTTCAGCTTCGCTAGCGCTTCCTCGGCGGACTTCAGTCTTTCTCCCATTGCCCTCGTTTTCTCTTGCTCTGTCGCCAACGCAGACTCGAGCTCGGCGATTCTCATCAGCAGTTCACTCTGGGCAACCATCATTTTCTCCATTTTTTCCTCGACCTCACATTGCCTACACTTCGCGTCAGCCTCTTCTCCATACGTTTCTACGCTTGGGTCCACTTTCAAACCCACTCCACATCCTGAACACTTTACGGTCTTTTTAACCATGCTTTTCTGACACCAATTGTCCCTATACTCGATAATTACTAAACTCGAGCCCTGCACTACGAGAAAAAAAAAGAAAGTCTAAGCTCTACTACAAAAATTTGCGTGTTCAATGTACGCGCACCTCCCCCACGGGGTGGCAAAAGAAAAAAAAACAGCAACAAAAAAATTCAAACACACACACCCACACTAACTAATAAATACCTGGTGACTGGCCCCCGAAAAAGCCGTACCATAAAATAAGTGCTACGAAGATTTCAACCGCTGCCGTATAATTATAAAGACAAGCTCAAAACATGCAAAAACACTTATCTGCGCAGTCGATCCGGAGCGCTCAAAAAACACGTCCATCCACCTTGACAGCCCGAGCTGAAGTTAATGATGATGATTAAAGGCCTCCCCTTTGAATCGGGGTGACGGCATGCGCCATCTAGCCTACCTTAATAGTTCGAGTTTAAATTCTGTCCCTCAACTCGGATGTCTTTTTAATTTTGCCCAGCCGCTACCCTTGGCTGGGATGTTATTTTATCGACTTCTCTGCTTTTCTTCCACCAATACTCCAGCCGCTGCTTAGTAATACCTACTGCTGACCAGTTAATGCTTCCATCAACCGCGAAACCCAGCGCCTCAGGAAATGTGACCTTCCCCCCATTTCTATCCGGCTGAATCTTTTGACATTCCATGACTATGTGGTCGATTGTTTCTTTATTTATGCCACATCCAACACATGTCTCATCCTGTGACGAATATTTGCTCCTGTAAGCTAGAGTTCTCAAGCAGCCAGCCCGCGCCTCAAAGAGCAACGCACTACCTTTATTGTTGTCATAAAAGTTCTCTTTCCGGATCTCTTGTTTGCTTGCCTTGTAGATTCCCAGCGATCCCTTCTTTTCCATCCTCTCTTTCCACATGAGCGTCTCTGTTTCCCTCACTTGCTTTTTAACTGGCCCCCTTTGTTTATTTGCCGCGGTCAAGTTATATTTAGTCGCCAGCTTTCGCGTCCTCTTCCGCCATTTGGTGTCCACACTTTTGAGGTACAGGTATCTGTGCACCCTGGCTGCCCAGTTCTTCTCATCTAAATGTCTAAGTCGCTCCTCAAACCGTATTTTACTTTGTGCTTCCCTCGCCTCAAATGAAGCCCAACCCATATCGCCTTGTACAGCCTCGTTTGTAGTCTTACTGTGAGCTCCCAGAGCTAACCTGCCGACTGCCTTTTGGTTAACCTCCAGCCCCGACAGGATATCTGACTTTAAGCATAATACGGCATTAGAGAACGTGAGCGCCGGCACCATTACCCCTTTCCAGATGCCTCGTACTACCTCGTACTTATTGTGTCCCCAAAGTGCTCTATGTTTCATTACTGCTGCATTTCGTCTCCCTTTCAGTTTGAGGTGTTCTTCATGAGCATTCAGGTAGCCTTTTCCTTCATTAAGCCAGATCCCCAAGTATTTGTACTTATTTACTAATGGTATGGCTTCCTGTTGTATCCTTATTGGTGCTACATGAGCTTCCTCGTTGAACACCATGACTCCAGATTTCTGTGGGTTAAATGTAGGCCTAGGTACGTTGCCTCATCACCACAAATGTCAGCCAGTTTTTGAAGTTCTTCCGCATTATCCGCCAGCAGCACTATATCGTCTGCGTACATCAATCCCGGAATCCGTTGCTCCACTAATTACACTCCATTGCTTCGGTGTGACAAATCAAAGCCCAATCCACTCTCCTCTAGTCGTCTTTCCATTCCTCTAATGTACAGTGTGAACAGCAATGGCGAAAGAGGGCACCCCTGTTTTAAACCTCTTCGAATGTGCACGGGCTCTGTGTATGTACGTACTTCCCATGTAATGTGTGCCTTGTTACCCTCATATATTGCCCTTAGCAGCCCTACAAATTCCGGGGGAGGGTTCGCAAAGCAGATTGCGAAGGGGATCACTGAGCTGAGGGTGACCTCGGAGGATGTGCAGATTGCTGTCTGCACGGTGCCGGAGGTGCAGAAACAGGGAGTCCACGTAGAAAGGGCGGTGGTTACGGCAAACACGGAGCTTTGGACTCTGGGTAAAACGATGAAGTTCGAAGTGGTCAACCTGAACCGAAACCTGGTCCGTGCAGGCCGCAACAGGGCGTTTGTGTCTGACGGCATACACTTCAGTAACCGTCTAGCTGAGCATGTAGGGCACCGATTTCGCCCTCTTTCGCCATTGCTGTTCACACTGTACATTAGAGGAATGGAAAGACGACTAGAGGAGAGTGGATTGGGCTTTGATTTGTCACACCGAAGCAATGGAGTGTTAGTGGAGCAACGGATTCCGGGATTGATGTACGCAGACGATATAGTGCTGCTGGCGGATAATGCGGAAGAACTTCAAAAACTGGCTGACATTTGTGGTGATGAGGCAACGTACCTAGGCCTACATGATAGTGTCGGTCGCGAGTGCCACCGCGCGGAGATTGTTTAAAACTGAAGGCAGGCCAACTCTGCTGGGAGCGCGAGCCATTCCTCAGGCATCTTTCTAGAGGAGGCGTTGGCTGAATAATTTTAGTAGAACCAACGCCTCCTAGATTTCTTTTGCCTGCCGGATGAGCATGAAACGCTTGTCATCTTTGAAGGCGCTGCCTACGTAGGAGTAAGGGTCTTTGTACTCAGCCTTTGAAATTGGCAGTTTTAGCGTTTGTTATTAATTTCAGAGGCTATGCCTTGTATCAAAAAAGTTGTTTGTTGAATGACAATGTCAGTTACTTAGGGTTATTTATAATTACGTTTACGTTTTTTAAAATTTTGTACGTTACTTTTATTGCACATTAGTTTCAAAAACTTAAAAATTTATTTGAAGACAGGCTCCTACTTGAGTGGCGCTACCACCGTAGTTCCGACGACCGTCGCTTCCCAAGTGACCACCGATAATCCGGCAGGCAAGGCAAATCTAGGAGGCGTTGGTAGAACTGGCTGCTGCGCTGCGCGTTGCTGGAGACCTCCGTGCTGGAGACGCTGCCAAATGTTTTTAAAGCACATTTAAAAGTTTGGCACTGTTTGGCTGTCATGTTTGTTTTGAAGGTTTTGGTTTGTGCCTTCTTTGCGATGCTAAGATTTTTCAGTTAGCGTTGTTTAGAACCCCCAGTGGCCGCGTCTTTTTCCTGCATAATCTGATCAAGCTGTTGCGTGAGCTCGCGCGGCAACTTTGATCGCTTTGGCAAAGACACAACTGCAATAGCGTCCGTAACTGCGAGGCGGAGAAACACGTTGCGCGTTGTAACACAGTCGAAAAAAGTTCGCAAAAGCTGGAGTCGCTATCTCGCTGCCTCGGTAATTGCGAAGCTCAAAAACAGCATGTGTGACGGCGGCGGCAAGCGGTCGTTGCGACTGGACTTCGTAGACTGTCAAGCGCATGCATCGACCAGCGAAGGAGCGGCTCCGCTCGTTGATCCTAGCAAGGTCCCGAAAAGCTCGCGCGACCCGCACCGCGGCTTATACCCGCGGCCTAGCAGGTGCCAGAAAGAGGAAGCAGCCGGGTGCTCATTCACTCCGGCCGTTGCGTCGAACGTGCCGACGTTCCAAAAGGCCAGCTCGCTGCTGAAAAGTAGCGCACCTCCGGTCGGCAATCGTCACGATGACGCGCGACCACCGGTGGTCGAGCGGCAGCCTGCCGGAAAGAAGTCCCTCGACTCGGGTCAACAAGATCACCAGTTACTTCGAAGCGACGCGCAGGACAAAGCGGCAACGGTCGCCTTCGCCAAGTGCGGCATCTCATTGTGACGCCGAGGAGAGTCCGAACTCCGTGCCACTCCAAAGACAGGTTGCAACGTATGTCTTCAGTTTCGATTGATAGAACGCACTTGCGTGGAAGGTTAAATGCAGGGAGAGAGATACCGATGAATGTTCCTTAGTGTGAACACTGCCATTGGACTCTTTTCACTGCCTTTCATGTGGTGTTTTCCAATGAGCTCAGATTTAAACCCATTTTTTGTCAAGGAACGGGTGCCTACGTTTTCGCTGGAGAGGATTGAAAGTATTCAATAATTCTTTAGTTGTTTCGGAGTGGAAAGTGCTGTTACAATGAATTGTAACAGCACTTCAGTCTGTTACAAATGAATTGGTCCCAAGATAAAAGTTTGCTCGAGGGCCCTAAACATAAATTACAAATTAGGTGGCACAGCATATGATAATGAAAACAGCTGAAAATGAAAAAAAAAATGCAGAAAGTATATGGCACCCAAAAGAATAAGGTGTAGTGCAAAGCGTTAGTTTGCTGACATAATCACATATTAAATTTCAACACTGCATGCATTAACCCCAGGAGCAACGGTGAAATCAATAAATAAGAATTGTCAAAGCAGGATGGTTCAGTTATTAATTGATAGATAAGAAGGGTTTAACATCCGAAAACATCCATATAATTATGAGAGACGCCGTAGTGGAGGGCTCCGAAAATTTCAACCTCCTGGAATTCTTAACGTGCTCTCAAATCTGAGCACACGGGCCAACAGCATTTTCTCCTCCATTGAAAATGCAGCCGGGATTCGATCCCACAACCTGCAGGTCAGTAGCCGAGTACAGGGCGCTTCAGTGGGGAAAAAATCCTTGTATTATTGTAATGCTTCGAAACAGTAAATAATATCAGCTATGTGATCATCGAAGTTGTCATTTCAGTTTGACTCTACAGAAAAAGAAGAATTGGGGATCTTCAAGCTTGGCTTTTAAGAGTAGAACGCAGTAGCAATATCTTTTCCTTAGTGCAAGCTGAGTTGGAAATGACTTGTGTTAGTGAAGCTTTCGCATATGGCTGCATTCTGTGCAATGAGAAGCGTAATTTAAACCACGAGCAATTGTGTGTGTGCAATCTTTCTGAGCTTGCTGTGCACCCATTACGAGACCTCAAGGAAAAAGGAGCAGCAACGTGTGTGTGTGTCTTGTAGTGGGTGGCCCGCTTTAAACTGTGAAGTCATGATAATCGTGTTCCGATGCCCGATTGCAATGAGCGCTTGTACCACCCATTATTACTGCGATATTACCCATTGTATTGTGAAGAATGCATACGTGACGCGCGTGTTTGTGAAGCATGCAGGTCACTTTCACCGCATTCCCAAGCAGAGGAAGTTATTTTCACTGTATTCCCAAGGAGACGCGTGGCTGTGAAACATTGGCGGTAGACTTATGGTTAGAAAGAAAAGGCATTTTCATTCCGTCTGTTAACTGCCGTCTATGTGATGTGCCGGAAACGATTGAACATTGCTTTGTTAGCTGCAAAGATGCCATACTGTTTAGGGATGTCCTTCAGCGAGCACTGAAAAAGTGTTTCGTCATTAATTCTCACACAATACGTTATCTTCTGCCAGCAACACTTGATGAAGTACCATATGATATGTTTTTCCTCATGGGTTTGCACAGCTACAGCTTGTGGAAGACACGAATGCAAGACCGCAATGCAGAGCCCACCACCTCTTCAAGCGCACACTTCATTCAAATGGCTATCCACCTGAAAAACAACTACGACGAGCTAGACTTTAGACCGGACTGGTACCCTGTCTTAGAGAACTGTTTGACCTCACCCCTTTTTTGTTTGTATAGCACGATGTGAAGAACTCTTCATGTGAGGAACTCACGCTGTGTTAGCCATTTAGTGTTTATGAGTAACGCTTGAGCGCTTACTTTGGCGATTTGATTGTACTTTTGTTCGCTTGATCTTGTCTTTATTGCCCTAGTACTTTAATAAATACCATGAAAAAAAAAGAGAGACGCGTGGCTGTGTGGTAGAACACCTGCTTGCCACACCAAAGACCCGGGTTCGATCCTCACTCGTACCCTGAACTTTTATGATTATTTTTTTGCTTCTTTCTTGAAGTTTTTGGCAACGCACTAAATAATGATTTTTTGCCCACACGCAACGATGCCGTAATTTCTGTAAAACGAACGCTTTAACGCTATACCGTTAAGGCATGCTTTTCCATCTAGCTTTTGGCAGTACATAGCAGGTTGTGTTCCTCAATGTGTCTGATTGTGTTTGTACTTTTTAATTTCCTATCGTGAAAAATCAAAATGTGGTTTTATTAATGGAGAACAATTTTAGAAGTGAAACCTTCAGTCATTTGCAATTAAATCTTGTTAATGTGATCTTCGCAAATACCACGCAGTGAAACATGTCATCTAAAAATTGCATAACTCGAAGCAAGCTTTCGGCTGTCAAGCACTGCCTGCTGTGGTATGGTAGCGTCTTTCTCCTGGTGAGTCTTTCTCTGTGCCGCCCTGCCGTGGTGGTCCAGTGGCTGAGGTACTCGGCTGCTGACCCGCAGGTCACGAGATCGAATCCTGGCTACGGCGGCTGCATTTTTGATGGAGGTTAAAACACTGTAGGCCCATGTGCTCAGATTTGGGTGCCCGTTAAAAAAACCCCAGGTGATCGAAATTTCCAGAGCCTTCTCTCTAAGGCGTCTCTCATAATCATATGGTGGTTTTGGGACGTTAAACCCCACATACCAACCATCTTTTTTCTGTGCTGGTGCTGTAAAACTTTCATGTTGTTGCAATGGTAATTATGCACTGATTTTACAGCTGTGAGTTTTTTAAGTACAGTGAAAGCTTGTTAATTCGAAATTGACCGGCAGTGTAATATTGTTCTAGTTAAGTAGAGAGAGAGAGAGAGACAAGTTTATTTACAGAAAGGTAGAGAGGTCGGGCCTGAGTGATAGCATGCTCTAGCCTGCTACTGTACTGCGGGAGGTGAAAAGGGAGGAAAGAAAACTAATGGACCGTAATGGTGAGCTGGACAGGTGAATATATACAGTCCTTTTCAATTGAGAAAATGTTATAGCCGTGCATATAGTCCAGTTGCTTTTGAGAAGGCTATAACCGCTCTTATGACCCCAGCTGCACTCTGGATGCCAGGCCAAGGGTGCAACACAGTTTCATCAATAGGTCATAAGCAGAGTTCGAATCAGTGGTTGGGCACTAGAATGAATGGAAACTTGCACCACAGTGTGCAGACAGAACACAAAGAAGCTATTTCTGGTTATGTTATCGTTAACTAGTTGCTACTACTGGTTTGTGGCAAGTGATTTTGTCAATTAAGGTCCTTGGTGCTCGAACAGAAAAGTTAAGTGATTAGACAGTGGTACGCCTGAAACAAGCATTGACATGCATTTATATGAGCAGTGAGCCCTAATGTCAAAATAAATATGCTTCAAAACAAACCTATTTATTGACTGAGTTAACACAATCAAAATTAAAAACAATCTCAATTTGTATTGTCTTGCACTTCATCTGTTGCAACTCCACGAGCATCTTTTGCAGCATGCCCAAGAGCTCCAGTGCAGCATCTAAATTCTCGTTTTGCACCTCTAGTAAATTTAGTCATTCTGGGCTGATTTGGTCTGGGTAAATTTGATCTAATCACTCTGGGCCAACTTCTGTGAGGAGCGATAAAACTCATGCGTTGTGGATACCAATACATTCGAATTATTGAAAGTGTTCACCATAAGATATTCACGCGAGATTGCCGGACTATGGTGTCAGTTCGTATTGACTAAGTTAGAGATAACTGAATTCAAATTAATAATCGTTTAGCAGCAAAAGTCATTTTCATGTTGTTGTGACATTTATGTGCTAGATTTACTGCTGTGAGTTTTACAACCAGCAATAAAAGCCCACCTCTGTAGTCATATCTAATTTCGAGTTAGTGTTGTGTGAGCTATAAAATTACACTACCTTATAGGACGCTGTCTCGTATAAAAAAGGGAGAATAGAGAAATATTTTAGTCTTTATAGATGGAGATGCTAATGGATTGATTGCCAGTCCTTTTTCATTTCTTGCTTAGAAGTATTATACTGTGTCTCGTTGTGTCTTGTTTCATGTGCAGTTGCGTCGGAACAACCCCTTTGGTTACTCGGATAGCAGCTCGGATTCGGTGGTGATCACAGGCGTGTTTGGCCTCGTCCCACCAGCGCCCACTGAGCAAGATGATGAAGACCTATTTGCACGGCTGCCTAACGAACTTCTTGAGCAAGTTCTGGCCCGCCTAGGCATGCAAGACTTACTGCTCACCTGCAACCGCGTGTGCAAGCGCTGGAATGACGTCATCTGCAATCCCTATGTGAGTGACTAGACTGGCCATATTCTGTCATCACTTAGCAAAGGTTATTTACATCAGATTTACCTTGCAGGTCTCAAAAGAGGGTTTGAAAAAACTTTTTTGAAAAAATCAGGGGGTTTTTTTGCTTTTTACACCAGAGCCACAAACATAATTACGAGAGATGCAACGAAGTGAATCAAACAAACAAGCAAGGAAAGCATAGAGGACATAATTACTGTATTTGACTGCAGTGTACTAATTGCAAGTAAATTGAACTGGATGAAAGGTCACTCTTTTGTTCGCTGGGATCTTAACTCTGTTCCTTCAAAGACATGATAATGAGCCACACCTAGGGTATTCCAGGTTAATTTTGACGAGCTAACACTTTTTAGGGTGAGGTCACGGTGTTAGAATAGGTTAGGTGGAGCGACGCTCGGCCTCCGCCGCGCAGCTTCCCCGCCGAACACGGCGACAAGTTTCGCATTTTTTCCGACAGGCAGCGCTGGGTGTATCGAGGCTTCAGGTCAGCCGCTTCAACGGGGGCCGCGTCGCTTACAAAGCTGCATTTGCGACAATTGTTCAACTGCTGGCCATTCATTCTTTATTAGGGTAACCACACATATCACTCTGATTTGAAAGTAAATGCACAACATCAAGAAAATTCAGTGGCGGTAGCCAACAGATGAAAACACATAGGAAATATAGCTTCTGCGAACAGTGATAATGAGTGTGCAGGCGAACACGAATTTCAAAAATATTTTAGCTCGTGCACAAATAATTCCACCGTGGTAAATTGGGTGAGGCCGGCATGACGAACTGGCTTAGTAATCACTGGGTTAGCAGCCGAGAACCTTAGCAACTGATCCACCGATAACCAGAACTGGGTTAGTCAAATAGAAAAAGATATTCACTGAAAAAGAAAGCACTGTTGTGTGTGTATGTGGGGGGAGGGGGCTGACGTTTCACTAAATGATGGTTGTCAGAAGGAAGGAACACTCTTGACATTGGTAGGTTAGAAAACTCCTGTGTTATCGCTGGATAGTCGAGGCTCCGATACCGCCCTCCCTGGAATTGCCGAGGCGATCTCAGTTTCCTGTGCCACCACTGCCAACTGCAGCACCGAGGCCACCGTGTTCGAGCCAGATGCAGAACCAGGTACTGGTGATATCCTTAAAAACTCTGAATCGGTCACTCTGCCAACTGCAGCTTGGGCACATCATAAAATAAATATCGGTGGCCAGAAAACAGTAGTGTTTTCAGAGATGCACCTGTCTAATGCTGCATTCGTGGCCGCGAATACAGTGTCTTGTGCTGTGAGAATGGCTGCGGAAGTGGAAGGTTACAACTACTGCGCCGCTCCTGCTAATCACATATATCCAAGAAAAGTCGTGAGCTTCGATTAGGCACTGAATATCAACATCGCTTTTTTTGACAGGCGAATAGCAAAAGAACAACTCGGATTTCTTGGAAATATCCGTAACATAGCCGATATTGAGACGCTAATTTTCCTTGTGCACAACGTTCGTTTATGCAGTGGAGGGCCTTACTCTAAAGAATATCTGAACGCACAGCCTTCCAGCGCTTATGTTGATGTAACAAGCCGCTGGAGACACAACCAATGTGTCCATCTGCTGCAGTCGGACGCAGCTTCATGCCAAAGATGTCAGAGCCTTCAAACCACACTTCGTCTTCACGAGAAGCGCAGACTAGACAAGGAGAAACAAAAGCGGCCTATGCGATATTTCCAATTGTTGAATGTTCAAAAGACTGATGTGGTGACTTTCAGAAGAGCGCAGTATTCATTAAATAAATCTGTTGATCGTCTTAAGAAGAAAGTGGGTTCTTTGACATTCCAACTTAAGTCCTGCCAAGAAAAGCTGTCGACAATGTCGGAAGAGTCCCTTGATGACAAGCTCGGGTGTTTAAACATTCCTGAAGGTGAAGCGACTGTTATTAAAGAATGTTTAGCAGCTGCGAAGTGCACCAGCAAGAAGAATCGGCGCTACAGCGAAGAGTGGCTCCTACTTTGCCTGCTCTTGCACATTCGTAGCCCGTCAGGCTATTCCTTTCTGCGTGATAACAACATATTGCCCCTTCCGTGTGTGTCGACAGTGCGGAAATACCTCTCCATGGTGCGTGTGAAATGTGGTTTTGACACTCGTTTTTTTAGTGCGTTCAAAAAAAAGCTCTCAACTAAAGACGCTTCTCGAAGACATGGAATTCTGGTGTTTGATGAAATTAACGTTCGTAAAGAATTGCGGGTGAACTCCAAAACAATGACTTATTCTGGACATGCAGACTTCGGAAATGAAGCTGCAGCGCCGAAGCAGCTAGCCGATCATGGACTTGTGTTTGCATTCCGTTCTTTTGGTTAGAGCTACTCCCAACTCGTGGCTGTTTTTGCAAGCCACGGCCCTACAAAAGGAACCGTGTTGTCCCAGCTTGTATTGAAGGCGATACTCCTTCTTGAAGACGCAGGCGCATTTGTCGATGCGATTGTGTGTGATGGTGCCACGACCAATCGATCCATGTGGAAGCACTTTGGTGTAACTGGTGCTTTGAATGTTGCAAAGAACTATTTTGTTAATCCTGTGTGTGAGGAACGAAATGTTTGTTTTTTCAGATGCACCACATCTAATCAAGTGCGTGCGAAACCGGCTTGTGAAGCAAAAGCTATTCTCTCTAAACGGCAGCCGCGTGATGTGGTCACACTATCACAAACTTTACGTAGTTGACACCAAGGCCGAAGGCTTGTTGAGGGTTTGCCCAAAACTTTCTTTCTCACATGTAAACCCAAGCAACACCGAAAAATACGTGTAAAGCTTGCAACGCAGCTGTTCAGCCTCAGTGTGACAAACGGTTTAGAATTTTACTCACAGAAGGGATCGCTTTGCTTATGCAATGTAAAAGGGACAGTTGATTTTACCGTAAGGATGAATAACCTGTTCGATGCCTTCAACCACAAGCACCCGAAGGAAGGCCTCAGAGAAGGAAGCAAAGATTTCAGCATCCTAGAATCAACATTGCAATGGCTGAACAATTGGGAGAAAGATGTCAAGCTAGGTAAAGTAAATCCTCACAACTTCCTGTCTCAATCAACTGCTGAAGGTATGCGAGTAACAATACTTTCTACAATTCAGCTTTCAAAGTATTTGTTAGAACAGTGTGGCTTTAAATATGTGCTAACAGCTAAATTCAACCAGGACGTCCTTGAATAATTCTTTGGCGTCATACGCCAAGAAAACGGTCAGAATGACCACCCTTGCCTACCTACGTTTTTGCAGTTATATAATATGCTTTCAATATATAGCCTTGTGAAGCCGCCAAAATTTGGCAACTGCCAGGTACAGAATAGTGAAGAGCCACGCCTTTTGAGCCTCTCTGACCTAACGTCAGCATTTCAGGAATCTGCTCCTCTAGAGTCGCGTCTGGAGGGACTGAAACAGAAACTAGACAGCTTAGTGGAAGAAGAAGCTGAGTGTGAGAATGTCTTTTCGGATATATCCTCGTCAGATAATGTGACAGACTGTATAATTTATTATGTGGTAGGATTTTTGTGCAGGAAGATATTGAAGAACACCACTTGTCAACAATGCCGCAATGGCTTGGCAGCTACAAGTAATGCAGCGTCGAAGCCTGAAGCTGCATTAGTAGCCTGCAAGACGCGCGGGGGACTGGTACACCCGAACACTTGCCTGTTTATGTTCTTAAAGGAAGTTGAAGCAATATTTTGCAAGCATGCTGGAGAAAAGCACGCATATGACATGACAATAGACTGTGTAGTAGAAAATTCCAAGTTATCATTTCGCTGTCATGAGCACAAGGTGGATATTATGTCGAAAGTGCTTCATTATTATGTTGGAGCCAGGATGAGGCAATACTGTAAGCAACTGCGGAAGGTTGAAGCAGACAAGACGCAGAAGCTACGAAAGCTTTCGAAGCTTGTCTAGTGTGTTGTGACTTTTATCCTGTCAGTGCATGTTGTGCTGGTACAGATCATGCACTGTCGAATGAATAAAGTGTTTTTTTCTTTTTACTACCACCTTCAGTACTATCCTACATCTTTTCGTATCATTTAGCCGCACCACACAGTACTCGAGCTTAAGCCGCTTTTTCAGGCAAAATTATGTAAAATTCGTAGATCGTGCCAATACTGTGATAAAATTCTTGGCGCACCGTAACCTATATATCTTGCAGTCTGTTTATTTTGAATATATCAAAGAGCAGCCATCGGTCACAAGCTGTCGCCCACTTTATTGCATTCGCTTTCAATCCTGCATTTTCGATCTGGGAGCGGCGCATCACGGGCTACTGCACGCCTTGAAAGACCTAAATAGAGTTATTCTATTCCATTGCATTAAAGCATTCGTTTTCTCGCAGATGTTTACAGAATTTGCAAATAATCGGTTCCTAATAAAAGATTCTGTAGGGTCACTTGATCTCATATGCGAAATGCCCCTTACGCATGATACCTGCTCTTTATATGATCTGACCGCAAATACACCAATTATTCTTTCGAGGGCAAATGAAGGGTGAATTCAACATGCGCCACACAACTGCATATTTACTTTTGTAGACAAAATGCGGGAACGATCGCCTAGCCCACGGTGTTGCCGAGGCCGAATGTGGTGTTTATGAGCTTCACGCCGCATGCCGAACCGTCAAGCGTAAAACACTACAAAGTCTTTATATTTAACATATGATATTACACTGCCACATAATTCTCACAGGGCCTTGCGATATCGCTAAACACGCTAAAACACCGAATGTTAGAAGCATCAGGTATGCGCTGGGTATAGCCAGGCGGCCTCCGTCCCGCGCACGCCTCCTTCCGGCAAGAAAGGGAAAGAGGTCCCTGATTTCTCCTCACTCCGATGCGCCGTCGCTCCACCTAAACTATTCTAACACCGTGGGTGAGGTTAAGTCGAACTAAAAGATGTTTTATTTAGCTCTTGTCAAAAATTGTGGCCGCTATGATTAGATGTCAAACCCAAATGACCTAGCTTGGCACTGAGGAAGAC